GACAAACTGGGAGAGTTCCCTCTGGCGAATAAGGCGCTCGATGGCCTTCTTCAATGTGATGCAATCGTCGGTGTTGTGCGACGAGTTCTTGTGGAACCGGCAGTACGTGCCGCCCTGCTGGATGGCCAGGATCTCCTCGGCCGGCCGAGGAGCCTGCTCGATGAGGCCGTGCTTCTCGGCATAATCGAGGATGGTGCCGACCGGGTGGGTGAGGGCCACCCCCGGCCGTTCCAGCCTCGGCCGCCAGTGGCGGTCTTTCTTACTTTGTCCACCAGAGCCGTGGCGGCCCTGGGCACCCTGGCCGGCCGGGGACGGACCCGAGGCCGGCGAAGGATTTGTCTTCTTGGGGGGATGGCCCCCCTCCCTCTTGTGATTGTGGAGCTCGTCGGCGTCGGCATACAAGCCTCCGCGTTGGAGCGCCCTGGCGTACGACCTCGGGGGGTCAGTGATGAGGCTCCTGGCGTACGGAGAGCTGCGGAGGGCTCCCTGGTACAAGGCGAGGAGGGTGCGCTCATCGGCCCCCTCGACCTCCTCGGTCTCCCTCGTCCACCGGTCGATGAATGACCGGAGGGACTCCTCGTGCTGCTGTTTGACGGAGAGGAGGTGGGTGAAATACTTCTTGGCGCGCTTCCTCCCGGCAAAGTGAGTGAGGAAGCGCTGGGCTAGATCTTGCCATGAGTCAATGCTTCCCTCTGGCAGTCCGTTGAACCACTCGTACGCTGGCCCCTCGAGAGTAGAGAGGAACCAACGACAGAGGTATTCGTCGGACGCGTTCACCATCAGCATGTTGTTTTGATAGCGGCTGAAGTGCTCCTGGGGGTCTGATCGGCCATCGTAGGACTTGATGGCGTTCCCCCTGTACTTCTCAGGGATGGGGGCCGAGAGGACCCTGTTGGTGAAAGGGGTCCTAGTCCTGACCTGGATGATGGGGTCACCCCGCCCTTCGGCCAGCTCCCTCTCCAGGGCGCTGACTTTGTTCATGAGTGCGTTGAGGCCGGGGTCGTTGGAGGCGCCGGCCGTAGGGATGTTGGCCGACTGCTTGGCCTCCATCTGAGCCAGCCTCCTCTCCAGCTGGGTGATGACTTCGTCTCGGGGGTCCCTGGCGGCCGCAGTGCCACCCGGCTAGTTCCTCAGGCGCTCGTTGTGAGCCGCGTTGATCTGGTGACGCACGTCATCCTCATGCAACTTCCCCTTGCCCTTGTCCGGGCGGGGCTGGTCCGCTGTCCGGGACACAGACCCCAAACTCTCCCTAGGGGAGCCAGGACGAGGATCACCAATCCGTCCCGCCATCCTCTCCGAAACCGGACGACGGCGCGTGTTACCCAGCCTATTGAAGGCAGAGGCTTTTCCACGCGCTGGGGTCTGCCCGGGCCGAAGAGGGGAAGCAGGGTGGGAGTGGGACGACGCCGTGTCCTGGGCCACAACCCCCTCATTGTTGCCTATCTGGTCGGCCAGTGGTTGGGGATGAGGAGGTGGAGTGACGTTTCCCCCGGTCCTTGGCAGGAGTGCGCTGAGGACGGTGGGATTCTGAGCCAAGCTGGCGATGATAGCCGACAGTGCGGCCTGGACCTGAGGATCTACGGACGGAGAGGCCGCGGCCATAGGCTGGGCCGGGGCGTGGTCCGCTTTCTCAGCTCATCTCTTTTCCAGGCCGAGGCGGGCGTCGGGGACTCCGCCGTTGAGTTGGTTGCGGAGGTCCGTCGTGAGGTTGAAGGCCTCCTGGAAGAGGTCCCCTCCACCGACCTGGTCGGCCGTGGCGTCCTCATCGTGTTCCCTGGGCTCTTGGTCCTCAGGGATGACTTTGCTGACGAGGTTGCGGTTTGACTTAGTTCTCCCCATGATCAGTGGTTAGCCGTGCTTGGTAGCGACGAAGGGTGCTAACTTGATTGTTCTAGCTCTCAACGAGAGCACCAAATGATAGAGTATATCTCCTGAATTCTAGAGAGAAGTGAGAGCTAGAGAGAGAAGTGCAATAATATGCTTCAATAGAATGATTTTGTAACCCCCTATAACTACTCCCAAGAGGAGTATTTATAGAGAAAATTAGGGTTGGGCTCCCAAGCCTTGGGCTTGGGAGGCCCATCTACAACTGGACCGCTACTGGGCCGAATACAAAGCCTCTAATGGGCTGTACAAATGAGTATGTATAGGATCCGATTCTGGGAGGTCTTCGAGGCCGACGAGGGCGTGGCCGACGAGGGCACGGCCGACGAGGGCGCGGCCGACGAGGGCGCGGCCGACGAGGGCACCCGAGTCCCTTAGACTCAGGACCGTAATCTGAGTTGGCACCTTTTCGGCCGACAGGGGCGTCATGGCCGACGAGGGCGCCACTCTGTTGTCTTGTGCTCCGTTCTTCCGAGTATGTGGGTCCCGGGGCTCAGACCCATATACTCCATCACGGATGCATAGCCAAGAAAAACACATTGAACAAAACGTGAAGACAGTTTATCAGAAGAAGACGCTGGAAAATTGGGATAACAAGCCACCTAAAAACACGTAAGAAGCTATAATCAGGAGGTTTTTGAAAAAGAATGTCATATGGAGAAACACCACAAAGAGTAGGAGTAGAGAGTCTGTTGATAATATATGCAGCTGTAAAAATAGCATCAATCCAGAAGGTGCTAGGAATAGAGGCTGTGAAAAGCATAGTCCTAACAAATTCTAACAAATGATGATGTTTGCGTTCAACAACACCGTTTTGTTGAGGAGTATTAGGGCAAGATTTGTGAAATTAGATGCCATTTTCAGCAAAAAATTGTTGCATATGAGAATTAATAAACTCACTCTGCCATCATTTTAAAAAACTTTAATTTTAGAATGAAACAAATTTTCAACTAAGAGTTTAAAAAGACGAAATTGATGAAACACTTCATTTTTAGTGCGCAAGGGATATATCTAGGTGAAACGCAAAAAATCATCAATAAAACACACATAATACTTAAAACCTAGATTAGATAAAAAAGGGGATTGCCACACATCAGAATGAATTAATTGTAATGGTGCAGAAGAATTATGACTAGCATCCGAAAAAGGTAATCGTTGGGATTTACCCAAATGAGAAGAAATACAATCATGTTCAAAATTTGAAGAACTAGAAATAAGTTTTGTACTACGTAACAGACGCAAAACAGTTTCACCACAATGCCCTAATCTACGGTGCCACACAGGGCCAGGAGAAGTGATGGAATCTAAAGCGAAAGTTGTAGACATATTGAGACTGATAAGGTAGAGATGGCCATTATGCCGCGCTTGAAGAAGAACTGCCCCCAAAGTTTTGTCCTTAACAAAAAAAATAGTTTTTGTCAAAAATAGCAACACAGTTGTTATCAGCACATAATTTTTGAATGGAGAGTAAATTAAATTTAATTTGAGGTACATGAAAAACAGAGTTTAATGACAAAGGGCGACTGAGACTATTTAATTTAATATTTCCAATATTAGCTATAGAAAGATTAGTACCATTCGCAAAACTAACCGTCATCGAGCCATGGTAAGGGGATTTATTTGACAAAATACCTTCAGAAGATGTCATGTGAGCCGAAGCTCCGGAGTCCAGATACCACAAAGCATCGTTTGATTCCCCACTGGGAGCAACCAAAGCATGTGCAGAGGCATGAGAAAAGCGAGTCGAACAGTGCAACACAGAATAACCTGCATAGAAACAAATCTGACACACAACTGGGGAATGAACAGAACCAAGAATACCCTGAGCTGACGGGAAACCTGCATAATGAAAGTGAGTACAAGAAGAAGATTTAGCATTAATATTTAAAATGGAAATGACAGATTTACCGGATGAGGCATTAGTTGGTCTCGGTGGAACACCACCCCCTGCGGCCGAAGGTACCGGAACTGTTGGAACACCCGGGTGCTAATACATCGGCTGACCAGCGACGGGAGGCTGTTGGTAAAAATGCTGTTGCTGGGCACGCCCCCTGCCACGCCCCACTCTCTCGTGGCCGCCTTTGCCGCAACCTCCTCTGTCGCGGCACACGTGTGGTTGCTCAACTGGCTGACCAGCTTGCGCACCAAACGCCTGCTGCAAGTTGGAGGACTCCTGAAGGCGCTGATGGAGTATTCGTTGTTCAGCCTCAAGCAGTCTAGGATGAAGAATGTCAGGAGGAAATTCATCAGGGAATAAGGATATGGTGCCCACAATCAATCCATACTCAGGTCCAAGGCCATGCAAGGTACTTTGCAATAAATCTTTATCAGTACTGGAGAATTTATTGCAGCTAGGGAATCAGCCAGATTTTTAATATCATGCAAGTAATGTTCCATGGACTGACTCTCTTTCTTTTTAATCGAATTCAAAGTACGCTTAAGTTCCATGGCTCTAGGTAAACTGACAGACATAAAACGAGTTTGAAAAAGCTCCCATATACAAGCTGCAGAGGCGGCGGTGTGGTGGTGGAGGCCATTGACGGCTGTGGTAAAAGAGGGAAGGCAGGCGTGAAAAAATATTTAGCCCTAGGCTCTTGATATATTTAGCCCTAGACTCTGATACCATGTGAGAATTTGGAAAAGGTTACTTCAATAGGAGTCGTGACAGATATATTTATATAGAAGAGTTTGAGACATACAAGGAAACAAATATTCTAATAATATTCTATTATTACCAAAAAGGTTCTAAGAATAGATTACATAGATAATCAAATGAAGTACTCCCTCCGTTCTTAAATAAATGCAACGGTCAACATTTCACACTTGCCGAGACACAACTTTGACCATTAATATAAATGATTTTGTATTAGTAAAAAAATTTAAAAAATTAGATTATGAAAATTTACAATGAGACAAGTTTAACAATATTTTTTTCATAAAATAATATTATTACATTAATAAATAAAACGTAGTCAAAGTAGAACATGTGAATAGTGTAAAAGTCAAAGTGTTGCATTTATTTAAGAACGGAGGTAGTATTTTTATCTTATATGCAAATCATTTTACCGCATAGTTTTTTTATTTGAAAATGTGTACTAAAATTTCATCAATTTTCCCTTGTATGCCTTGTCCATCGCCAAAAAACAAATTGCAGAACTTTCACTCGGAACTATCATGGCCTCAGTCCACCAATTCCGTCTGGTCTCTTCTCTCAGCTCCATCTACTCCGAGCTCTATCCAACAAAGCACCCCCTTAATAGACCTCTCAAATTCCAGACCCTACCAATCTCAGCTTCTTTGAAATCTTCATCGCCCAATTCAGAAGAAGAGCCTCCCCAATCTGAAAAAAATAATGCTGTCAAGCTTGCATTCGCCAAAGCCAAGGCCTACAAGAAGGACGTTAAAACCAGTCCCGTTCCAAAGATCATTCAAGCTCTGTTTCCAGAATCTGAAGAATTAGAAGACCGGGGCGGCGGGTTGAAAGAAGACGATAAGCTTAGCGAGGAAAAGGAGATGCCTTCTGCAGTGAAGCTTGCATTCGCCAAAGCCAAGGCCTACAAGAAAGACGTTAAAACCAGTCCTGTTCCAAAGATCATTCAAGCTCCGGTTCCAGAATCTGAAGAATTAGAAAATCGGGGCGGCGGGTTGAAAGAAGATGATAAGCTTAGCGAGGAAAAGGAGATGCCTTCTGCAGTCAAGCTTGCATTCGCCAAAGCCCGGGCCTACAAGAAAGACGTTAAAACCACTCCTGTTCCAAAGATCATTCAAGCTCCGGTTCCAGAATCTGAAGAATTAGAAAATCGCGGGTTGAAAGAAAATGATAAGCTTAGCGCGGAAGAGGAGATGCCTCCTGCAGTCAAACTTGCATTCCAGAGAGCAAATGAGTATAAGAAGAACAAAGAAGAAGCTTTGGGAAAGTTTGCAGGTTCACAAGGCAGTGGTAATTTCTACTTTTGATTTTTTCATTGTCGTTTTATTTGTAATGTCAATTTTTTCCCGTATTCATTGCTATAAATTTCATGTATGAGTCAGGATCAACTAGTTTATAACATATGAATGAATGTATGTGTATATATACAAGATTTAATTTAATGGATTAGCTAGTCTAATTGACCTAGATAGATAATCTAACATCACTTATAGATGCACGGATGTGAGTTGTCCTTTTAATATTTCTATGTGGAATCTTAGAAATATAATTCTTGATGCTTTCAAGAAGTACAACAACAACATCCAAGCCTTAATCCCAAAAGAATTTGGGGTCGGCTAACATGAATCGATCTATGATATCGATGCCAAAAAGAGAAGGCGGACAAGAAAAGGAAAAAAAGTAAGATAAAATGAATAAAATAAAGATACATAAATATAAGATAACAATAACACAAGAATATAACCAAGATAAAAGAAAAATAAATAAAAGAGCATAAACAAGCTAGAAGATAAAAATAACATAAGAATATAAAAAGATAAGGAATATAAACGATAAAAGAAACAAGAGAGGAAAGGTAGACAAGACATCAAAAGTTTTTTAAAAATGTTGTCCTTTTAATATTTCTATGTGGAATCTTAAAAATGTAATTCTTGATGCTTTCAAGTATTCAGGATTTTTTTTCCTTTACTCCATAGTAAGGGTGTGCCTTTCTATTTATACTCCTTAGTAATCTATCTTTTTCACAACTGTGGTCTAAGTAGTTACATAGTCTTTTTACAGGTGTCATTGGGTCCTACTTACCGGAAAGTAAAATGATGGTACTATTTGTATACATGTTTGACACTTATTTATGAAATTCTATCCAAGTATTGAGCATATGGATTTAAAAATTAATAATTAGATTATTATTGCAAAATGCAGTACTGTACTTAAAGTATACTTGCTTTTGTAATTGCAGTATCCTCTTGATAAAAATATTTAAAGAATTGAGCTCGAGCCTTTGCATGCCCATAGCTTTGCCCATGTTCATAACTACAGTCTTCTTGATGTTTTTTACATCATATGGAGCTGTTGTTTTCCAGAGCTGAAGGGTATAAGTGCATTTTTGTGCGCAGGAGTTAATGAAAAGGGAATAGTGATGGATATTGGGAATGGTTTACCCAATAGGAAGGAAGGTAAGAAAGAAGAAGTGAGGGTTTCGAGCACTGATTTTATGGGGCTTAATTTTTCTGATAAAAAGGAAGGGAGGCGAGTGCCAGCCGGGCTGCTCCCGATATCGGACCCTTTCCCTGATGGCAATTTTCCGGAGGCAGAAATACTAGTTGGGGATGCTAGTAAGTTTGGAAAGGTAAGCAAGCCTGAACCTGCCCAGGAGGATCGGATGGATGTCTACAAGCCGAAGGTCTCCACATGGGGTGTTTTCCCCAGGCCTACCAACATTTCCAAAACTGTAAGTTTATTATATGCATTTTTTTCCATCTTGAACCAATCTTATTTCCATTTTCAGTTGAGCACAATTTCTGTAACTTTCTGCCTCAAAGTTTTTCCAACCACTCTTTTCTCGTATAACTGACTAAATATGCAAGTGATAAACTGATAAACCAATATGACGACAGTTGTATATGCAACAGCAACAGCATCTAAGCTTTAATCCAGAAAGAGTTTGGAGTCGGCTAACATGAATCAACATATGAAACCGTAGTTAAAAAGGGTAAAATGATATCAATCCTCCACATGTATACTCTCACTTCACTTCGCTCTCTCCAAAGCCACCCTCTCATTCAACCCAAGAAGTACCATATCACTCCTAACCACTTGAATCCACTTCTGTTTGGGTTGTCATCTCCCTCTCCTCCTTGGCCCTTCTCTCCACCTCTCAATTCGCCTAACATGTGCATCATTGAGTCTTCTACATACATAACCAAACCACCGCAGTGGAGACTCTTGCATCTTATCTTCAATAAATGTTATTCCCACCTTTTGTCCAATTGTCTCATTCTTCAAGCAGTCTTGTCTGGTATGTACACACATCCAACGCAACATGCACATCTCAGCCACACTTATCTTTTATATGTAACATTGTTTCACTCTATGCCGTACAATAATGCAGTTTCAGTTATTGTCCGATAATTCGATGAAATTTTATATGACTTTTGAAAATTTATGGTGGAGAGCTGATGCAGATAATAAGCACTATAAAATGCAATAATATTTCAGATGTCTGTTAATATTAAGAGGGAGTTGGAGTTTGCACCCCAATTTTCAACCCAAATTTAATCCTGCACCCCTTTTTGATGTTATTGATATTTACAACTGAAGTTAGAGAAGTCTGTTAATAATCGCAAATGCCAATTCAGAAGAAAAATGGGGTGCATACTGTGACTTTGAGATGAAATAGTGGGACGCAAACTTGTTAGCCAAGCTAAAAACAGTAACTGAAGCAGTATTATTAGCAATGGTCAATGGAAACTGAGGAATTGTCAGTATTCCAGGAGAGGATTACAGTGAAGAACGAGAAAGAATCCAATCTAGAGAAAGAACAGGGAGTTTCTCTCTCTAGCCAAGCCCAGCCATTTCTAACAGAATACCAGCCTACCTTTCCCTTATTTCCCTCCCTTACATATATTCAACAAACAAGCCAGCTCATTATTGATTCCCGCCCTTCTTTCCCCTCCTCACATACACCTTAGTAAAATACTCTACACCCCTTGTGCTATCAAAACTCCAATTCATCAATATTGCTCCGTATTGTTTTAGTCTACTCACTTTTAAAGTCCTATGTATAGTTCCATAGCAGTGTAGAAGTGAAAGTTTTTCTCTGAAAAAATAAGAGCATGGACTGGAATAATGAAATTATCGTAAAGGATTTTTTTAATCTCGATCTGGTTATACCTTTTCTGTGTTCTTAGTTTGGTGGTGGAAGGACTCTTAAGCCTGGTGAGGAACTTGAAACAGCGGAAGTGAAAGCAGCTAAAGATGCACGAACAAGACAGCTCCTTGTTGCCTACAAGTCAAAAATGGGCATGATCGTTGATCCAAGACTTGAGTTTGAATGCGAGAAGGTATTTTCAATTTTGCTTTCTTTTGCTTGGACAAATAAATCTATAATGTAACAATATGTTGCTCACTTGCTCCTCATGCTGCCTTCTACCGAAGACAATTTTCTTTTACTTACTACCTAATTGTTCATGTGATTTAGGATTATTTTCTGCAATGTTGCATTGTTTAAGGTTTGAAACCAGAGAGAAATACATGAGTTAGTGCCTCAAGGATATAATTTTGCCGAATTTGATCCTCAACTTTATTTCCTTTTGACTCAATTTAGTCATATTTTATGAAATTTAAACTAAGCTATTTCCCGATGCATGCTTCATTCTAATTAAGAACGTTATTTTCATACATGACGAGTGAAATTAGTTCAAGTTGCATAATTGGAGATCAAGTTGAGTGCTATATTGGGTCTAAATATAGCGAACATAAAAAAATACTCATCTTACTTAGAACCAAATGTGCATGATGAGGGCCAAGTATCCAAGTTTAATAGCAGAGGACTATATTGACTATTGAGTCTCACTTAAAGAAGATTAGAGCCACATTGAGTAATAGTGTATGGTCGAAGAACTAAGTCAGGTACTAACTCCTGTAAAGGGGAGCAGAAGCTCCTTCCACTCTGAGTCTGATCAGTGGGAGTTGATTTGACATAGTATTTGAACTCACAGTTCTCCCTCCATTGCAGAAGAAGTTGATGAGAAAGCTAGACTACAATCAAGAAATTCAGAATGTAATTAAGAAAATATGTTTAAATTGAGTTCATGGAAAAGTGGTGTTTGTTCTTCCTGGGAAAGTATAATTTGGTATCATTGTACCTCATTATTCTTTGGTTTGAGAATCATTACATTTAACTTCTTATTTATAGCACTGTTGTGCTTAGTCATTAAGGGATGGCGACAGGTTGATGGAAGGTGGGAAGCTGAGAGAAGCAATGCCATTTTATACAAAAGTAATGGATGACCTGCCATTCCAGGTAACTACTTAAAACAAACTCTTGAGGGATATAGAAGACTAAAAGACAAATTCAAACTCAATAAATCTAGTTCATATATATGTTCAAACTCATTTTTTATTTCTATGATATAAAGACTAACAAATCAAAATGTGTATACTTTTGTTTTCATAAGAATGTAACTCGCTTGGGAGTTTTTCCTTCTCAACCATTACCCTTGATCCAAACATAGCATTGATCTTGAAGTTTTTCCTTTTCATAAGAAATGCCAAACTTGTACATTCCATTTTTTTAAAACTAAAGTAGAGGAGGAGGCCAAACTTACTGGCTTTCTTCCTTGTATCTTCTTTCCTTGGTTACCTATATATTCATATACAGTTTCTCTGCAGAATGAACTTCATGGACTTGCTGCTTTGCAGTGGTCCATCTGTCAAGACTCACTGCTAAGGTAAGTCCATTCTAGGCTTTCTCTTGTCTCTTTGGCTCGCTATGAACTTATTTTTATTTTTCAGTGGTTAAGTAATCACAAATTATTGACAGGCCAAACGAAGCTCGATACATGTATGAAAAACTTCAGTCGCACCCTAGTGTTCAAGTAAGCAAAAAAGCACGACAATTTGCTTTCAGCTTTCAGGTAATTAAGTTCATCTATAGCCCTAAAGGTAGTAAGACGATTGTTGTAAAAATCTTGTGCCTAGGCATTAGGCTCTTTTTGGACATCTAGGTAATTATCTCGCCCAGACCATCTAATTGCACTCGAACCTCCCTGAATCTCAATTAGCTCCTCTCTAGGCTTATGAGGACCTCTTCTCTTTGACTTTGGACTTAAAATTAATGATCGTTTCTAAATTGGTTGATAGTAATCAGGCCTATTAGGCTAATAATAGAAATAATAATAAGAATAATAAGTGTACTTGTAGTATAAATAGAAAGGGAGGGGAGGAAAAATAGTAGGCTGTTAGACAGTTGTATCTGGGACTGGGAAGATTAGGGATATTCTCTCTATTCTTGGGACTCTCTGTAACCTTCGTTCACCATTAATGAAAGCTTCTTTTGTTTCTTGAATTCTATTTTCATATCTCTGTGTTAGTATATATCTGCGTTAGCTCTATCATTGGTCTGGTCTGGTACTTTGTTCCATTAAAGTCAATTTTGGTTTGATATTATGTGAATTTATTTGTTTGGAACATATATTAATGTTTCTTTTTTAACTCTGATTTCATATATCGATTGACCCAAACTCTTTTTGGACTAAGGCGGTATTAATAATGGTCTAATATATTTTTATGTTGACATGTTGTAGTTATTAAAGTACAAATTTTCCATTTTTCTTTTAAATCCACACTGTTATTCTATAAAAATAAGAAAAACAGTATCATATCTGAACATAACAAATCAACATACAAATGCATTAGGAGCTTATGATCCTCCATCTTGCATTATAAGCAACCACTAAAACAAAAACAGTATTTGTTATGCGGGTATAAAACTTCCTTAGGTGCCAAGGGACGACTTATGTTATGGTTTGGATGATGGCAGGCAATGGAAATGATGAAGCTTACCGGCTCGTCCACTTTTCGGGTGGGTACGGGCTATCAAAGTTACTTCAATGCTTTTGTAAAGGAAGAGACCGGCTACCCTCTTAAAGAAGCTGAAGTTGATGAAGGTGTTGGACTCGGTGAAGCTCTCCCCTACATCATCTTTCTTATTTCCCCTGTATTTATCGTGATATTCATTGCTATACGAAAGGGTATTTGAGTAGCTGATGTTGTCATCCTTTTGATTCAAACATGGATCACACACAACAGTGCATGAATACCCTCAACCCAAATGGAACTCAATTTCTATAGTCCTACACATAAGCTGGACAGAGCCAAGGAGGTAAAGGTGGTCAGCTGACCCCTCTGAGAATTCGAGAATGTAGAGCACTTAAGTACCTCTGAAAAGTCGATTTGATATTATTATGATTCTCTTAACTCATTATAAGTAAAAAAATACGACCTAAAAAATCAACATTTTTTAAACTTGAAATTATGGATGGACTCGGGCCGGGTGGCCCGACCCGGAACCGACCCGGGACCGGTACTGTTTCGGCCCGGCCCGAACCGGTCGCCCGGTCAGTGACCGGTCCAGGTAGGCCCGACCCGTGGGTTTTCCGGTCCGGGCTCGGGTCACCCAAAACAAGGCCCGGCTGGTCCTGGGCCTGGTTCGGGCCAAAATTGATTTTTTTTTCAATTTTTCAACTTTTTCGGATTGGGCTGGGTATTTTGGGCCATTTGGGGTGGTTTGGGGGGTTGGGGGTGGGAGGGGGGTTAATTAGGAAAAGGAAAAAAATGATAATAGCCCCGGCCCGGATCCGGACCGGTCCCGGGCCCATCTATTTAGAACCGGTGGCCTGCCCGGGCCTAGGCCCGACCCTGACCCGGCCCGAGTCCACATCTACTTGAAATAGATAAAATTTGATGCTTATGATTTGTTATGTTCCCAATTTTTTGTTAAAATGTTAGTTTTTCTTTAATCACGATATCATATCTTCCAATCAATTACTAGTAGTAACTAGTAAGCCCATTATAGAGCCCGTTTGACAGCACGAAAATTGACTGTTTTGGCTGATTCTGCTGAAATTTATGAAGTTATGGCTGAAGTGGCTGCATTGGCTCATTCTGCTGATACAAGAAAAAAATATTTTTAAAATATATTTTATTAATAAAATAAAGAAAAAATTATATGTAAAAATAGCTAAAATGATCATCTACAGTAACTTCAGCCAATACAGCCAGAAAAGTAACTCCAACCTTACTTTTTCGGCTTATTACACAATTCAACGTGCGAAAGCAAATTTTACGTGTTTGGTAAAAAAGTTGGCTGATAAGCCTGATAAGCCGAAAATGAGGGTTGCCAAACGGCCTCATAATCTTTTTAATCTCAACGCCTGTTTCTTTGTACCAAGTATGTATTGTGTTGTTCTTGTCGGGGGCATAGCTTACATGGTGGGAAGTGGGTTTCACAAGGGAGGCGTTTCGTGTTTAACTCTGCAAAGAGTTGTTTTGAAACACTCTCTTTCAACAATACTGAAATTAATCGAATTAGATGAATGTAGTGAAAATGATAATATTCTAGTGGAGGCGGCCTCATCGGGTGAATCTTCTGAATCAAGGAAACATTATATTTAAAATAAATTTTATTAGTAAGAAAAATATAAAGTTATATGAAAATGAGTTAAACTGGTTCTCTACAGAGATTATTTATGCAATATAGAACATTTTCTCATATAATTGTTTGATCATTGTTTAGGTCCTTCAAGGATGTTATTTTTTAAGGGTATTTTTTTTATATTATGTCGTTCTTCAATATTTTTCCATTAGTTTTTAGCCATCACGCTTGCAATGTTAAGTCAAATGTTAATCTTTTATTGCAATATTGGAACCTTCCATTTCTTCCAAAAAAACATCAATTCTTTAATTACTTTCAAGCAAGTATGAAATATACGAAGTAGTAGAGATACAAACAACAATCGAGGCAAGTCCTGTTTCAAATACTCTCATTTAAAAAACCAGTCATTTGACATACACAGACACTTTTAATTGTTTTTTCTTAGTTGTAAAATGATCATATCACTTTTTTAACAACCCTCATGAGATGGTCAGAGTAAAACATAATAACTCTATACTCTCTTCATCATTGACTCATTGTACATATAAAATACTGGAATCATGCGCAAATAAACTCTTATGAAGTGCAAAAAAGAAACAAAAAATAATATCTCTTTTAGACCGTTTGGAGTGGTGTGAGAGTCTAAATGTCAAAAATGAACTCCGTCCATATGAAAACAGTGTTTTGACTTCTATTTATCTGCATTCCAGCACCGTCAATAAAATACACTCTGCACATTTTTTTACATATCAATTAATAAAACATTAATTAAATTATTATAAGTAATGTTTTCATTACTTATAAGTTATAAAATAAAAAAGACACATTTCAATGTAATAAAATAAATTTCATTAATATTTTTTTTAAGTTTTTCTCGAACAAAATATTAATTAAAAATAATGTAAAAATAAAATAAATTATTTTAAACGTTGAATTTCAATTTCAGTCGTTGAATCAATTTTTCCCATTATAATAGTGTCCAAATCATCACAACCGTTGGACCTACAATTTTTTTAAATTGAGGACAGTGTGACATCAGCACAACGTCAACATCAGCTTGGCAAACATTTCATGCGCATCACTTGGCCACCAGCCCATTTGGCTCTTTCCCACTCCCCACTCCCCTTCCTTTTTTCTTTTGGCCCCCTTGACGCCCTTCAAATATACCCCTCTCCATCTTCTTCTCCATTTTTACTCCCCCATTTAGTTCAAAAAATCCACTTTTAACATTTTGGACTCATAATCCTACACCACTTCAAGTGGTCTTATAAGTCATACTAGGGATGCATTCGGGCCGGGTCGGGCCCGGGCCGGGCCTAGGCCCGGTCGGGCCGCCGGTTCGTATCACATGGGCCCGGGACCGGCCCGAGGGTTGGACGGGTCCGGTTCGGGCCGGGCCACCCGCCCGGGTCACGGGTCGGGCCACCCGCCGGGCCGGGCCGGGCCGGTTAAATATATATTTTTTTAATTTATATTTTATACTTTATAGTTTTATACAAGTATTAAAAAACAAACTTCAAGTGCATTTATTTCAAATGAAATAGGAACTACATTTGAAATTTAAATAGGAACTATAATTGTTTTTAATCGGAATCTCCGGCATAGGTAGAGCCACCCTCTGTTGTAGATTCATCCATAAAGTGTTGGGATGGAGTGATGTCAATTTCTTGAGCTCTACGTGCTGCTTTCAACCAATCGTGGTAGCATATAAGCATCTCAAAAGATTCAGCGCTCAACCTCGTTCTGGTTTGTGTTAGAACATTGCCGGCCGAACTAAATTCTTGTTCCACGGCAACCGTTGAAACCGGTATTGATAGCACTTGCTTAGCCATCTTTGCTAAAACCGGGAATATTCTTTCTTTTCCCTTCCACCAGTTTAGTACGTCAAAATCATCATCTTCTTCAAAATCAACATCATAAGTTAAATACAAAGAAATCTCATTAATTGTGCTTTGTTGTGTAGCGGAAGTTGATTTTGTTTTTTTAATAAGATTGGCAAACGTAGATTTGAAAATTGATTTTCCTTTAGACGATGTTTGTGTCGGGGGAAGGGGCGCATTGCCATATTGTGCATGAAACTCATTGAATAATGCATAAAATATATCACTAACCTCGTTGTATTCTTTTTTCGGATCAATTGGGTTGTCCTCATACATTGGCAATGGACCAAAAAAAGCAGCATAATAATAATTCAAACATTCTTCTAAAGAACCAAGTCTAAAACGAGGATCGAGAACAAATGCAATACCATAAATATGCGGAATATGTGAATAATATTTTAAAAACTTTTCCTTCATAAAACCAGCAAAATAACTCACATAATCAGCATTCTCAAAATTTGAAAAAGCACCGGCGAGATTAATAGCTTCACGAATAAATTGGTTTGAGGTAGGTTTATAAACATGACTAAAAGTTTCAGTTGCATTATTAAAATATATCAAAGCATTACAAATTTTTTCACAGGTGTCGATCTCAGCCGAGTTTATAATATAGTTATAATATTGTTTCATAAAAGCAGGAAAATGTTGTTTATATCTAAGAAGAACTCCAATTAACTTATAGGTACTATTCCAACGAATAGCCAAATCTTTTGGAAAAGCCACATATCTCTCACCTCTTTCTATCAAATAATCATGCCATTTTTTCCTAAATTGTTCATTACCCCAAATACGTCTAATCCACCCCCCCCCTGACTACCTCCAACGATGTTTCCGACGCTTTTAGACCATCTTGCACACATAAATTTAGAACATGACATGCACATCGTTGATGAAAAAATCTACCCATCAAAGAAGTAGAACCACACAATTCACGCAATCTAGGAATAGCAGCAGTATTATTAGTAGCATTATCAAAACCAATAGCAAACACCTTATCAATTAAATTATACTCAATTAAAATACGTTCAATCAAAATATAAATATGTTCAGCGGTGTGGCGATCATTAAATTCACGGAAAGCAAGAACACGTTTATGCATATGCCAATCATTATCAATATAATGTACAGTCAGACCCAAATAATGTAAATTATGATAAGTATCATCCCATATGTCAGAACATACAGTAACACGTCCATCAAAGTTTGCAAAATAATTTTGTAACCTTACCTTTTCCGCACCATAAAGCCTTGAAATTTCTTTCTTAACCGTTTTGCGACTATAACCTCTATATTGCGGATTTAAACAAGTTTGTGCATAATCACGAAAAGCAAGACTTTCATAAAACAAATAAGGCAAATTTTCTTCAACAAGTAAGTTAGCCATACCTGTCAAATTTTGTGCATCATTGTATGAGAAATTACCAAAAGCTTGTTGGTTATTTGCAAACCTCGATATTTGCGTTTGCTTCTCCGTTCCGCCGCCTAATTTTGCATACTCCACCGGGTGTTTGGACTTAAGGTGTCTTGTGGCGGATCCGTATCCGCCGGAAATCCCCAAGCTATAGTTTTTCTTGCACCAATTGCAAGTTGCGGTCCAATTCCCGGTGTTCGGGTCCTTCCACTTAGAAAAATTATTAGCCATTAATTCAGATTTACTTTTTTTGTACCTGTTTGGGATGAGGCTGCTTGGTCGGCGTCATGGCTGCCGCCACCCTTCTCCTCCTCGTCGTCGTGGCTCTCCGGAATTGCTTCCTCCACATCGTCGTCCTCGTCCTCGAGCTCTTCTTCGTCAATGGTCCTCGGTTGGTCTTGAAAAAAGTAGGAATTATGTCGGTGCAATTCTTGTTCTAGTTGTTCGTCGGTCATCGCATCCCCATCTCTCCTTACGTAACTCGTATCAAAATCATCTCGACTTTGAGATGAAGAGCCGATATGTGATTTACCTTTGCGGGATCTCTTCCTCGCAAGCTCTTTCGTTCGGTTGCGCTCGAGGTTACCCATATCAACCGAATATCTAGGATGATCCATCTAAAAAATATAGTGATTAATAAAAAATTGTAAAAAACTAATTAACTATTTATGTAACTATTAAATCGAGTTATAGCAAATTAAGTAGTGAATTAACTAGTTTTGTGTACAACATATTTTTTAAACTAGAGTCAAATGTAGCAATTAATAAAAAATTGTAAAAAACTAATTAACTATTTATGTAACTATTAAATCGAGTTATAGCAAATTAAGTAGTGAATTAACTAGTTTTGTGTACAACATATTTTTTAAACTAGAGTCAAATGTAGCGATTAATAAAAAATTGTAAAAAACTAATTAACTATTTATCTAACTATTAATTCGAGTTATAGCAAATTAAGTAGTGAATTAACTAGTTTTGTGTACAACATATTTTTTAAACTAGAGTCAAATGTAGCAATTAATAAAAAATTGTAAAAAACTAATTAACTATTTATCTAACTATTAAACATGAGTCAAATGTAGCAAATTAACTAGTAATTAAACAAGTGTAAATAATAGAATAATTTCGTACCTCTTTCGGATTTTCGGTCTTTCGGATGGGAGTAATAGAATGACTTCAAATTAATTAGATATAATTCCAACTATATTAATAGATATAATAAATATATAAGTAATATATAATTAGATAACAAATATAAGTAATATAATACTATTTATATCTATTTATAGTTTATATAAGTAGATAATTAATATAAACTATAAATAATAAATATAATATATTGGAGAATGGAGAATAAGAGAATTAGAGAGTAGAGAGTTAGGAATAGGATTTAGGAAGAATTGGAGAAGAGATATGAAAAAATGTTTAAGATTAGGAGTATTTATAGGTTTGTTTACCCCCCACCCCCCCACCCCCCCCCCCCACCAGCCAACCCCCCGGACCCCCCCTTTACCCCACCCAACGGCTATATAGCCCAAGAGTCCAAACAAAATTTTTTTTTTAAAAAAAATAAGACCGGACCCGGGCCCGGGCCCGACCCGGCTGGGCCGGGTCACATTAATCCAGCACCGAGCCCGCCCCGCCCATTCCCACCGGTTCGGGTCCATACCCGGTCCCGGACCGCCCGACCGATCCGGTCCCGGGCCCGCACAGTACCGGGCCGGGCCGGGTCACAGGCCGGGTGGCCCGAACCGAATCCAACCCTAAGTCATACTCCCTCAGTCCCAGAATTTGCTTCCATACTACAAATGACACACGGATTAAGAAAGTGAGAATTGTGTGGTGGAGAGTTGTGCAGAGGAGAGAGAAATGTGTAAGAATTGCCGTGAAACACATATTCTTTGTCAAAAAGGGAAAGGAAGTTCTTTTTGAGCAGACGAAAATGAAAAGTTAGAAGTAAATTATGGGACGGAGGGAGTATAATAATCTCTAAATAAAAGAGATAATGTAGTTGGAGATATGTTGCAACTTTATAAGGCGAGTTTCCTTAATTCAGAAATCATATTTGTTTCTAAAAAAAATTAAAGCACCCCTATAATTGAAGGCTCTGAAATACAAATTCTTGGGAGAGAAAAAAGTATCCTGCTTGTTTCGAGGTTGCACGAATCAAATTTGTGACCTTTTTGAAAAGTAAAGAAAAGAGGAGCGTGTGGGCCTACCACTCTCCTAATATCTCATCTTTCCTTTTTCTAAAGCGTGCCGACCGCTAAATGGTTATCGGCCCAAGTTTTCTTATGGTCCAACATTGTCATCTGCTTATCCGAGTTTGCATCCGGGTGTACGTACACCCGGCCCAAGTAAGCAAGACGGTCCAACCACTAATACAAAAAAAAAAAATCGGTGGCATATTTGTAATTTAAGCGAAAATTCACGGTTTCCGCTAAATGAGCAATATTGTACATTTAGTGAGAATCCAACATATTTTATTGAGTATTATGAGGCTAACAATGAGTAACACGATCTCAACTTCATATCTTCTAATTTTTGTTCTTTTTCTTATTTTTTCTTTTATAAAAACTTATTAAATTATATCTATAATACACTCTTATGAATTTCAATATGTGAATTTAGTGTAATATGATACTTTTGAAATATGCATTGATATGACATTTTAAAATGAGCATAACATCAATACAAAATGAGCATACGTAACTTACAAAATGTTAATTGATATGAAAATCGTAAAGTTTGTTAGTTTGACATAACGACATTTTCAATGAGCATCAAACCTTTTAAGTTGAGATAAAAATCACAGTTTCTGTTAAATGAGCATTAATGAACTTTAATGTGCATCAAACTTATTATGAGTATTAAAACACTTTCAATGAGCATCACACTTATTCAGTTGAGTATTAGGAACCACTTACAAAAGGAGTATCAAAAAATCCAAAATGTCATTTGAAATTGCTAATGTGCTCAAATCCTTATTTGTCTATACTCATTTCGTTTAAACATTATGCTCATTTGGCACGTGAGAGCGATGTGGTAAGGGTTGGATTGATTTGTCAGGTCAATCTCAGCGGAATGTAGTCTATACAGAGTATTAACGTTGTCCTATAGAATCTCTGCAACACCAGAGATGGAGGAAACGTAACGAACTTCTCGGAGAAGATGACTGGTGCTCGTTGGGGTAATCTTTTCCGGTGGGATTACTGCTGAAAGCGGAAGTGGAGGGCGGGTTGACGGCCGGAAGACTGGCCGGCTCCGGAACTCGCTGGTGGTGGCCGGTACAGGTGGGCGAACGAACTGGCTGGTTTGATAGGTTGTTCGCTCAACGTCTCTCATGTGGCCTCACTCCCTGATGCTCGTTGACTGAGGCGGCGGATGGATAGCTAAGGTTTCCAGGCACAGCTGGTTCGTGAAACATATATGGAGCAGGAGAAGAAGCCTTAGAGTTGCATGGAATTACAAAATAGTCGGGTGTACACATACACCCCAGTGTACGGTATAATTTACCTGCTTATCCTGGCCCCTTTTGTATATAGCTTCTCTTTTACAACAACAAACACAACAATAACTAGGTTTATGGTGGGGAACAAGGATGTTTTTAATTTGACCAAATTTTTCTGATCTCCTCTTATCTAATATAGTCTGATTTGTTTAAGTTTGATCTTGTCTAAATTAGTCTCGTAAATATCTGATTCTTGTGTATTTTATAGTTGTCAAAGTTTGGTCTAGTCTGATTTTGAAAAAAGTCCAAGTAAAAACATTTAAGTATAACAAAATGAGTTTTAAAATCGGAAGATTTGGAACATGATCTAAATGGTACCACTAATTGAGATAATTCAATTTACTTTTTTTAATACCATCTAAACCTATTGTACTAGGTAGTATGTATTCATAATAATGTCAACATCGTTAATTAAAATGAGACTCGAATCTCCAACCTCTTCTTTGAGAGATCAATAATGATGTCATTAGATCGTAAAGTATTTAGCATTACATTTACTTGGATAGCTGCTTAGCTTCATTAACTGCAAGGGTTGTTTGGGTATGCAAACATATCAATATAATTTGTTGTAGAGTATAATACTTTTTTATGGTGAGTATAATGCTTTTATTATATTTTACATGGAAATTGATAGGAGACTAGGAGTGATATTTGGCATTTTATATTCTGCTTTCATCTCACTATGAATAACTCTTTTATAACCCAATAACATGTCCAAATATACACTCCCTAAGTTTTTTATTGCTTTGACTTGACATGTTTATTTTTTCCTTCGGAAACAAAAAAAAAATTAACAGCCCGCTAAAAATGGAAAGAATTTTATAATGAAGAGCGTATATATATGTACTCTTCAATTATGCAAGAACAACTTCAATTTCAAGGTGCATGTGAAAACTATCCAGTGGCGTAGCACAAAAAAGATAAATTGTGTTTGCCTAGTTTCTGAGTCGTGTTAGGTAGTATTGAGTGAATTATACCCTATTTTTAAAATTTGGGAAAATTATTTGTAGTATGCATTAAATTTTGTTGATTTTACGTTTAGATAGTGCTGATTTTTCAGAAGTCTTAACTTTTTACTCGTAATGAGTTCGGGAGCCATAATATATCAAATCGAATATATTTCAGAGTTCTGTACTCTCAAACTTTTAGCGGGTCGGCTGACCACCCTAACCCCCTTGGCTCCACCCCTGAAACTACCCATAACAAATTATCTTCTCAATTACGATAGAGATTGCACGCTCCCCCTACCAAATTATGTTAACCCATAAAATTTTCTCTTTTATAGTTTTATATCATTGCTTATTATGCAACAAGTTGGAAATGCTGGTGACTATTACTCCCTGTAGATTTTAATACCAATAATAATATATGAGACCCATCACACCATTAACTTTCATGATAAATCTTGCTTAACTTTTGTGTCATGAGATGAAATAGAGTAACACTGAATAATAGCGCCGCTTACAAGGTACTAGGGATTAATTAGGGAAGGTGCTCAATTTATCTACTTACCCTTCGTGAATGAAGGTGATTTTAATTTAAGTCTAGGTTATCTAGACTTAGGCCCTGTTTGGATATTGGCGGGTTTGGCCAAATCGCCAACTTTTTACAAAGCAAAACGCTGCTAAAAGCGTTAAACTTTTTGGAGGTTTGGCTTGAAACCTCCAACAAACAAACGGACCCTTAAACGGAGGTGACTAAACAAGAACACACGTAAATGATAATGTATGTAATTCAATATCAGACTTTACCACATAGAACCAATTCAAATCAAGTCAAATAAGATGAGATATTACTTAAATAAATTTTTCTAGATCAGACCAGACTTAAACAATTTAAACCATATAAAATCTAAAAATTTCAGTTGAAATGAAGGGTTTTTTAAATAAAAAAAATTATACTGCAAATACTAACAATCACCAATTTGTAATACTACGTATCCTCCTAATAGATTGGGAGCGAGGACAGTGTTATAAGTGAGGTACACTTTACATTGTCCCCTGGTGTTGCAAATAATTCAAAATCCATCAAACACATGGCCCCGCCACTACCTTACCTCTTTTAGCTAAGGGCGTTTGTTGGGGCACCACCTGAAACTAAGCTCTGAAACCTTCTTTTTTTTCAAAAAAATATTCAAACCAGACGCTTGTAAACAACCATATCACCCACTGTCCAATCTTGGAATTTAATGTCTTTTAGATTCAAAGAAAACCCCTTTCTTTCCTTTAACTAAAAGTCCATCTTTACTCGATAAGAAGAATAACTTCCGTATTGGCTATGTCTATAGCTTGAAGAATCGTTTTCCTTTCAAGAATCAAATATGGTGCAAAGAAAGGCTCTTGGTCAGCTTGGTATCCAAGCTGATCATCACATAGTAAAGGTTCCCAACCTAGAAGCATCTTATTTGCAGAAACACCAAGATGGGAAGAACAGCAGAGGAACTGACCTAAAGAAGAAGATGATGAAGAAGAAATCTGGCAAAATAAAGCATCCTGAGTTTGAAAACAGTCGGGCCCACCCAAGAAAACCGCCAAGCAGTACAAATAAGGCTTCTTCTCCATCAAACTCGACCCCAAATTATATGAAATCTACCAGCAGTTCAGATGCAAGGAAAGAAAAGTCGCTAGTAAGTTCCACAACCCCCCAATCTGTTTCTTCTTCTAATTGCAAGAACCTTTCAATGACTACTTTAGCTGGTAGTAGTACTACAAGTTTGAAACATGTAAAAAAATATCCTAGTTTTAAGCCTGCAAGAGTTTGTTCTTCCAAGAAATGTTCCCAGAGAGCTACTTGCTCTTCAACTTTGAAGGACTCAAAATTTCCTTGTTACCTGGAACTTAATCCTGGTGGTATTACTTCTGCTATGAAGGTCTGCCCTTATACTTACTGCTCTCTTAACGGCCATCATCACCTTCAATTTCCCCCATTGAAGAGCTTCTTGTCTGCAAGGAGACGGTCTTTGAAAACACAGAGGAGCTTGAAAATAGGGTGTCTATCTCCCAGTCCAGCAAGGCCTACCGGATTGAGCCTTGACGGAGATAGTCCAGATCAGAAACAAGAGACTGAAGAGAGTACGGACTTTACCATTGAAATATACTGCAAAGAAAGGGAAGAAACGGAACAGAATTGTGCCCCAACAAGTTCACTTCATGAAGAGGTACAGGAGAACAAAGATCTGTTCCCTGTAAGAGATTATTCAGGTGCAGAAGAATCAGATATGGACTGGGAAGGCATTGTAGGTTCATTAAATCGTAATGAAGAACCTGATCCTGAAGAACACTGTTCGGATATGAACTCCTGCGAAGTTGTCCTGGATGAGTCCAGCTCTGCTGAAATTGTTGCAAAAAACATGGTGCAAGAATCATTTGATGATACAGGAAGCATTAAATCTGGAGATAGTCCAGATCAGAAACAAGAGACTGAAGAGAGTACGGACTTTACCATTAAAATATACTGCAAAGAAAGGGAAGAAACGGAACAGAATCGTGCCCCAACAAGTTCACTTCATGAAGAGGTACAGGAGAACAAAGATCTGTTCCCTGTAAGAGATTATTCAGGTGCAGAAGAATCAGATATGGACTGGGAAGGCATTGTAGGTTCATTAAATCGTAACGAAGAACCTGATCCTGAAGAACACCGTTCGGATATGAACTCCTGCGAAGTTGTCCTGGATGAGTCCAGCTCTGCTGAAATTGTTGCAAAAAACATGGTGCAAGAATCATTTGATGATACAGGAAGCATTAAATCTGGAGCATGTTTAAGTGATGAAGATACAGATTCTCCCATTTCTTGTCCAGGGCCTGATTTCAATATCTGTGATTATCAGCCAGACACTCACAGTGATGATGAGGATGAAACCACTCAAAAACACCTCCATATTTCTGATAAGCTAATAGAGGAGGAGGAAATTTGTTCAGTTTCTCATGAGAAAAGCACGATTCTCCAAGAAGATGATGAGACTCCAATTCAAGAATATCATCAAGAATCTACTGATTTTGATGAAAATAATACTATGCCTAACATGTGTGGTGATATTGCTACTATGGATGGGGTATTTGGTGAAAAAAATCTAACATATTCTGTAAATAAAAACAATGGCGACATATACTTCTTAGAAAAACAGGGTAGTGAATCAGAAGAAGCCTCTCAAGGAGGACCAATTGAAACCAGTGAAGATGGAAGCCTGAAGCCCCCAGAGAAAGGTTGTGATCAAGAAATTTACAGTGTGGGGAAGGAACTGTCTTCTAATGCAGAAACAGAGAAGATAGCAAAAGTAACTGAAAACCAAAATGCAGATATTGAAGTTCTTCCCATCTTGAGAAAAACATCAAGACACCACAACAGGCTGATTCAAGAGGAGGAGGAAATGAGAGATTTTAATCCACGTAGACCAAATTTTCTTCCATTGAAGCCTGATCCAGAAGCAGAAAGAGTTGATCTCAAGCATCAAATGATGGAGGAAAGAAAGAATCCAGAGGAATGGATGATTGATTATGCACTCCAACAAGCAGTGAGCAAGCTTGCTCCTGCACGCAGAAAGAAGGTCGCATTGCTAGTTGAAGCTTTCGAAACAGTCTCACCAATTCCCAAATGTGAACCTCACCTTAGTCGGGGAACGAAACTATTCCCTCCAAGAAGATACATCCAGGCTTGCAATTAACAAAAAGCAAATCTCAGGTAAATTTAATCTGCATGTTTAGGTACTACAAAAATTACTTCTATATCCATATTGACTTGCAACACATTATGAATCCTTATACAGACAGAGAAGAATCTCCATGTCATGGTGAGGGGAGCCAATGAAGAATGTTCATTCACAAATATGCAACCTTGCTCCCATCATATGGAGGAAAGCACAGTAATTATAAAGAAGCATTCAGAGATTCTATGATGTGTAACAACTGAAAGAAACTAACTGTGTTCTAATTTCTTACACTGGATACGATAATTACAGAGAGGGAATATATAAATAATATTCCCTCAGTCTATTGTGTAATTTCTGCGACTGGATTGTGTGGTATCACATTAAGCTAATGATATAATGAGATATGTTATAACTGGTAGTGGTAGTATAGCATCAACTGAAATTCATGAATATTTGAATAAACCTAAGCGTTAGCACAGAATTGCAGGAATAGTGAAGGGCATAGCCAAGCTAAGCTAAGCTATCCGGTTGTGAAGCGGCAGCCAATGCCTCTTCAACACTATCTCAGCCGCGTCAACCTCTCGGCAACCCTGAAAGCCCGAGCGCCTCTCCGGCTGCGAACTTTTACGGCTGCGGCTTATGCTGTTCTAATTGGAGTGTGGGAGTGTCAATTTCAGTTTATTTCGCCTTTCTTTTCAGCTGTGGTCAACGGTGGCCAACGCATGCTAATCATTTCATAACTATTCCATGTTTTTACTACCCTCACTGTTTCATACGGAGTAATTCTCGATTGTCAAGGGTAAGAGTAAAACATATGCCAAATTTTTAAGGCTAAAGGGTCAAATAAGTTCATTTACCTTTCCGGATTGTTCAATTTGTCTTTCGAACTCAAAAAAGCTCTAATTGACACCTTGAACTCCATAAAAAGATTCAAATTTTACTTTTTGCAGATCACAAACCGGGCACCGCCACATCACCCGGTATGGTGCCAACTGTGCATGTGACATGACAACTTAGAGGGTCAAATAAACCCCTGAACTCGACTTAAATGTTCAATTTACCCCCTCAACCCTTAATTTTTTTTTTTGACATTTTTAGGGTTGAGGGGGTAAATTGAACGATTCGATCGGGTTCAGGGGCTTATTTTAGACCTGTACAAAACCGGGCCAGCTCGCCCGACCCGCCCAACCCGCACAAATAGACGGGCTTGGGCATATATATTTACCCACCGGTCCGGTCCGCAATAAGATATGGGTGGGGCTGGGTTAGGGTGTAGGCCCGTTCGGGTCGATAAGCCCGGTCCGCTACATTTAGTATATATAAATATATGTATTTATATATATACTAATTTATTTATTTATTTACATATACACATGTATATTTATATTTACTAATTTTTCTTTATACATATTTATAGTTTATTATGTTTAAATTTAAATTTTAAGTTCGTAACAACTAGCCCAACCAATATAATATCTATTTTTGTACTTAAAGATAATACTTTGTGCTTAAATTTAAAGTTTTAGATGTAGTTTCTCATTATTATTTTTGTGTAAGTATTTTTTTGTATGTGGTGAAAGACCTATAAACATTATAAGTGTATTAACAATTTTTTAAATGTTGTAATATCATTTTTAATGTATTAAAAATCATATAATTTTGAAAAAATTAACGTTTTCCCGGGTCGGGCGGCCCGGTGGACTACCCGGCCCGCTCTTATGGGCGGGCATGGACATGGGGTTAGGCCCGTTTTTGCGGGCCGGGCCGGGCCCGCCCACACATGATGGGCAAAAAAATTATAAAAAGTCCGGCCTGAGCCCGACCCGAACCCGTTCTTGTACAGGTCCAGCTTATTTGACCCCCTAAGTTGCCACGTCACATGCACAGTTGGCACCCTACCGGGTGACGTGGCGGTGACCGGATTGAAACCTGCAAAAAGTAAAATTTGAATATTTTTATCGAATCCAGAGTGTGCCAATTGGAGCTTTTTTGGGTTGAGGGGGCAAATTGAGCAATCTGAAAGGGTACAAGGACCCATTTGATCCTTTAGCCAATTTTTAAATAGGGGTATGTAGGCAAATTATACCGTGCAACCGGCATGCCATGTATATGGTGCCATTTTTTGCTTTGCCCGGGTCTAGGCCGAGCTCCGGGCCGGTTCAAGCCGGGCTTTTTTTCAGGATGTTGGGCCCGGAACAGGCCCAGGTTGATACCGGGTCCGGGCCAAAACCGGATCGGGCTCCAGTTCAATGTAATTTTTTTTTTTGCTTTCTAATTAAATAATTAATCCCCGATCCCCCTCACCCCCCAACACCCCCCCCCCCCCCCAAAACACCCAACCCTACCCTAGGAAAAGGAAAAAACTTGAAAAAAATGGACCGGACCGGTTCATGAAATATAGGGCCCGAGCCCAACCCGCCCAAAGCGTGCTAAGGCCCAGAACCGCCACCCCCAACCGGGCATGTCCGAGCTCGAACAGTACCGGGCCGGGCCGGTTCAGCCCGGTTGAGTCCACCCCTACTTCCCATGCTTCCAACAGTCCAAATGTTCAATAGAATTACGGAAGCCTTCTTCCTTTTCCCTCCAGGTTAGTACTTTCTTTCTCTTTGTTTTTCTTTTCTATTTTCTTCAATTCTTTTCTCTTTTACATCAAAATACTAAAAACTTAATTTATTTATGATTTTACTCGTCTTTATCTTTAACTAATTAATGTAACACCGTCCCCAATTATATTTACTTTTATGTAATAATGTAGTGAACCTTATGAAATGGTTAATGAATTTACAAGGTTGTAAATTTTTGTTATTACTTGTGCGTGAATAGTAAATTGCACGTGAGGCCCACATCGGGAGCGGGGACCACCCTATATTTCCGAGACCACATATTATATTCATCTTGGTCTAGATAATATGTACATGGTGGTGAATATTTTAGTTGGGCCATGGAAAGGGCATAGGGTTGACCGGTTGGTCAAACGAGACCCAATTACCGGTATTGGTAATTTATCGGATAACAGTCCGAAACAAATTTCGGAGACTTCTAAAATAAAGTTGGGGAATATATATTCATTCTAAAGTCCTATAGTGATTGAGAATGTGTGATATATTTTATTTGGTCCGATAAAATAAAATATAATTAAAACGGTTCAAAAAATACAACTTTCGGGACCGATTGTACAGTTCAGGACATAAAGGGATGACCTCCCACATGAGTGGGGGCCACCCCACGTTTTTGTGTGCTCAAAGTCAATTTGAGACAACAAATTGTGCTAGAAAGGAGGGCTCAGGGCTATGTGTTGTGGATTTGAGGGGAGGGTGAGAATAGACTTGAGGTGGACCTTACACCCACACTCATTGGTCTATTGAGACAAAAAGGACTATGTACACCCCTCTCTCCTTCATTTTTTACCATGGACTCTCCAAGCAAGGGAATTAAGCTCTGCAACTCCATTCCTCCATAGTCAAGTGAGCTCAAGAAGACAAGGTCCAGGGAGGAAGATTTAAGAAGGAAAAGTGAGGGAAAAGATTGGTGGATCAAGGTAATGACCTTATAACAACCTTTCTTTATATATTAACAATCATATGACATGTATAGAATATGAGGAACCCCTAGGCTTGTTCTACATGTTTAGAAATGTAGAATGAGGGGTTGGAAGGTAGTTCTAAGTCCAAGAATGGACTTAGAAGCCAAAGTGACCGGTTCGCCGGAAAATAACCTTTTAGAGGTTATTTGTGTTAATATGGGTTTGTGATGATAAAACCTTGTTAGTAACTTGTATAAGGAGTTCCTAGAGCTTTCACAGAGTTGAAAGAGGCACCGGAGTTATCTCCGGAGTTTGACAAAGTTCGTCGGAGCTTCGTCGGAGTTAAACCGGGAAGGGAAGAACTACTTAAAGCTCATTCAAGGTGAGTGGATGGCTTAATGTCTTGTAACTCTTGGGTTAAGTATAGGATTACCTAAGAATAAGCTATATGTGTTCATTATGATGTTTAAAATGTTTAAACATGTGATTAGCCAAGATGATTAGGCTTATAAGAAATGAACCATGATTATTATGCATGAGAAATGATATGAAAATGATATAAAAACATGTGTGATGTTTTGGATGGCCAAAATGGAAAATATTGATCGTTTGAAACCTAATACATGTTGTATAAAAGTTTCGGACCGATCGAAGATCATACAGAGGGTCAACAGACCACCGTCGTTGGGCAGACGGTGAACCGGCGCCGGCTATAGGGCTGAACCGGCGCCGGTTATGTCACTGCCTGGCCGGTCTGAGGGATTTGACACATAACCGGCACAGGGATAGGGTATAACCGGTGTCGGGTAAGCTGCTCCACGGGTTCCGATTTCGCCAAAAACGCGGTTCGGGCCCGGTTCGAAGGGGGTATTCACCCCGGACATCCTATATGATTATATTGTGCATGGAATTGCATGGAATGTGATATTTAAAGAGATAATTTTGATACCTAATGATTAAACTCTGAGACTTTGTCTAGTCTTGATAAACGATTATGATGTAGACCCTATCTATGCATGATAAGCGGTAGGTCATAGAAGTGAAAGTAAGATGGTGGAGAACCTAGGGACGACGATATTGTCCTCAAAACTCGGTATATGAACGGTGGAGACCCAGGGACGACGGTACAATCCTCAAACCTCAAATGTATAAACGGTGGAGACCCAGGGACGACGATACTGTCCTCAAACCTCAAATGTATAAACGGTGGAGACCCAGGGACGACAGTACTGTCCTCAAACCTCAAGTGTATAAGCGGTGGAGACCCAAGGATGACGGTACTGTCCTCAAACCTCGGTATATGGATGGTGGAGACCCAAGGACGACAGTACTGTCCTCAAAACTCATATGTATAAATGGTAGAGAATCCAGGGACGATGGTACTGTCCTCAAACTCGTATGTATAAATTGATTTGGACTAGGAGGGGTCCTATACACTCATAGGATATGTGTGGGTTGATATTTAAGTCAAGGATATTGACTACTGTTGAAGGAAATTTTATGTTGTGTGATATCGTTTAGATAGAATATGTATTAGAGTCTTTCTATGTAAATGATGTATTATGAGTCTATTGATCCGTACTTGTAAACCCTACTCTATCCCTATTTATAGGGGCTTTCGACAATGAAACTCTACGAATCATTCTCCCTAGAACACCTTATCGGACTCTACTTGCCAACCCTAATTCATTTTTCCCTATCATCGAAGGGTCGCCCAATGCTATTGGAAGGTATATGTTGCTCATCATTCGATGACCGCCGGATCTGCTACATCTCAGTCTAGTGCGGCAAAAGGCGATAAGACCCACACTGTCCGGATGCCTTGCTGATGAGTGAAGCCAAGGAGTTGCACGCACATGACCAGAT